ATATATATATATAATTGTTGGATATTTAGGTGGCTCGAAAGTGCACGTCGCTCATCCAATTTTTTTAGACTTCTGCAATTTTTTGAGCAACTCGTAAATTTTTTGTCGCCAGATCTAAATGTCACTCGATCAGTTTTTTAAGTAGTATGTAATTTTTTCACTCCCATAGAATTTTTAGTCGGTGTTTAGTACGTTTAATTTGGCACGACGGGAGAGATTTCATCCGCAGGTGATGCATGGTCATCAGTTGGGGCTTGGTATGTTGGTTGGAGTTTGGTTGGCCACAACAAGGGCGGTATTGGCCACCGAAGCCTTCGCGACCGCCGGCGAGTCCACCACCTCTAAGGTAATTTTGGTGCTAGTGTATGTCCATCGTATTATAGAGTTTGCAATGGGTATGGCTCTCCTTTGTTGGTTCTGTGGGAGGGATTTCACTTGCGTTTGGTTGGTCGACCAAGACTTTTTGACCATCAATAAATGCACACAAGTCGTCCAGGATTTTGGCAACCATCGGGTATTTTTTGCTTATCTAGTTAATTTGGTTGGTAAGGAATGTTCAAGACATGCAATAGACTGTTAGAGGATGTTGGTGGGATGTGTAACAGAATTTGGTGATCGACGAAAAGTGAATTGTTCGACCGGATTTAAATGATTGCTAGCGAGAACTTCGGCGACCGGCTGGCAAGTCCCGTGGCGGAACATGACGATCGACGCACGAGACTCGACAATCAACTGAGGGACTTGTCGATTGAGGGGATTGTCGTATGACGAGACTTCAGTGATAAACAAAAAGATTAAGGGATTTCTACCATCAACATGAATAAGCCTATTGGCGCCCATGGGAAGAAGTCTGACGACGGTCGTTTATCCTCTAGCTGCCGGAAAAACACGTGTCCTCTAACTTCTTACTGATTTTTTGATCGTCTAATTTTGCAATTGATGACAAGATTTCACACGCGATAGAGAATTTCAATCATTACTAATTTTTGTTATTCGTTTTTGAACGTGCTTTTGGCCTCCAGACCAATTCCTCTCGAAAGATTACTACAATGAGATCTTCGAGCTATTGAATTTACTATTGTACTGTTTTCCCTTTTGTGCTCTCTGCTATGAGTGTTTTTCTTCAGTGTCACTAATTTTTAATTGTCGTTCAAGTTCACCACGTCATATGTTCAATCCAAATATGATATGCCTAAGAGAGAGCATAAGAACCTGGAGAGAGAGAATACAATGTCGTGGCTGCCCTAGAGGGCAGTGGGGGTGTTCCCAAACCTCTTTGACCCAATTTATGTATTAAAAGTTACAAACTTGCACTTTTAGAGTTATCTATGGTTGCACCTCTTCATGTCTCTTATATATTTTCATATATTAGACAATTTTCATCATCTTATGCAATTTTTGCTCATATACATATATATATATATATTATTTATTTATTTATTTATTTATGTAGAACAAATAAATAAAGTAAGCCCACCTCTCCCTCTCCGCTCTCAAAGTACGAACCCCATCCCCGTCGGCCCGTCTTTAACTTTCTCCTCCCCGCCGCCACCTCGCCGGCGATGGACTCGCTCTCTGCTTTACGAGATTATACCGTTCGCGGCGAACTCGATAGCATCACTTGTGTCGGCGATGAGTTCCGCTTTGCCGGCGACTACTCCTTTCCCTGTACTACCGAAACTGCTTTCAGATCAAAACAGGGTAATCTCTACACCCTCGAAACCCTACTCTTCTTCATCCGCCACCATCACTTAAAACACAGCGAATACATACAGTCAGCCCGTCTTCATCGTATACCAGCCGTAACCCTCCCCGACAGAAAACCTCTCCTCGATTACCTCCAAGGAAGGATCGCCTCCACCGAGTCCATCGAACTCCTCCCCGTCGACGAGTACCGGCCCGATGACCCCTCCTACGGAGCTGTTCCATCATCTATTCCCTCATTTGGCGCTGGAGGTGAAACCACTGTACCGGAGCCTCTCGATTATGTCTCCTTGCTCCGTGCCCGAGAACGCCCGCTAAAAGACAGGGAATCGCTGCTTGAGTGCCGTAACCGCGATTTTTACAGCGTGCTTGTGGCGTCAACTCGCCGGGAGGAGGAAAGACATCGGATCGAGTCGCAGCAGCGTAAGGATGGGCTCGTCGCCAAAACCCGGCTTATCGGGTCTGATGACAGGGGAGATGACGGTGTTGGGTACGATTCGACGCCAAGGCCAAAGATGCATCTAAAGGGGAGTAAGATTGGGGAGGGTGTGCCGATTATTTTGGTTCCCAGCGCGTTTCAGACACTGATCACTATTTATAATGTGAAGGAGTTTTTAGAAGACGGCGTGTTTGTGCCTTCGGATGTGAAGGTGAAGGCGATAAGGGGTGCGCCGAAGCCTGACTGCGTGACTGTGCAGAAGAAGCTGAGTAGGGATAGGGTGGTTGCTGCTTATGAGGTGAGGGACAAGCCATCTTCTTTGAAGCCTGAAGATTGGGACCGGGTGGTGGCGGTCTTTGTGCTAGGGAAGGAGTGGCAGTTCAAAGATTGGCCGTTCAAGGATCATGTTGAAATATTCAATAAAAGTGAGTACCATCAATGTTTTCTCTTTCATTTTATCATGGAAGATTTACATACATTCCACTCAATTCCTATGTATTTACATATATCTAACACTTAAACTTCAAATTTTACATACATTACCTATACATTGAAAGGTGTAATTTAATTTTTAAAAGTTAAAATGATGTTATTTTTGATGTGATATTAAAATTTTTGGTGCTATAAATGTAAAAAATAAATTATAGGTGTTTGGAATTGTGTGTTATGTATGCGAACGCCTATTTTATCATTCTGGCTTCCTTCGGAATTTATAGAAAAGTTCATTATGTTCCTTCATTAGGGTTGTTTTTTGAGCTTTATGTTGTTTTGCGGTAGAGCAGTTGGACTATATATGCTGTAATAAGGGGTAGATTGAGTATTTAATTTTCCTTTATCAGTTAAGGGAAAGCTGCACTTTTTGAAGATTTGTATGGTAGCATTATGTGCCAAGGAAGTAACAAATTATACGTGTAAAAAGTTAGGGCAAGAAAAGATGCAAAGATTTTTGGAAAATTAAGTGCTTTATGTGCGGTGATGAGAATATCTTAGTTAAGAGATGTTATTTGCTAAATTATTTATATAGTGTTTTTATGGAATATTGAGTGTAATATGAAATTTTAGTCGGTGCTAAATTGAAAATTATAACATCATCAAGATTTTCCAGGTTTATGTACTTCATATTCATATAAAAAAAAACCAGTATTTGCAATGAATTAAATTTTAGAGTTTGAGTTGTTGAAATGATGTAATATGTTAGTAGTGCCATGAAATCAATGAACATTATTAAAGCTTGAAGATAGATGTTCTAAATTCCCAATTAGTCCAACTATTAAGGAAAACTATAAAAGTTGAATGTCAAGTTACTTGCTGATAACGATTACCGCCAAAAATGGGAAAATGCGTATGCAATCAATTAAATCAAATTGTAATCACAAAAACTAAACATTCACAAAATATTTTAGATAAAAGAATAATGATACAAGTCACCAATTTGAAGATCACACCCTCATGTTGCAAAACACTTGAAGAATCCACATCAAACAACTCTAATAAATATTATGTGGAAAATAAGAATTATATTCTATTTTAACATAAAATATTGTGCTCATGGTTATATGCTCTATTTACGACCTAAAAGACCCAAATTTAGTAATCTTTGAAAAGCCTCCAAGATCTGGTCAAATGCTTAAGGATTTAATTCTACAAGGTTGATTTGTAACAATATTAATGTTACACCGGCAACTACGGCTAATTTAGTCCTTTGTTATTTCTTATTGTTTGATATAAATAGGACTTAATAGATTAGGGTTAGGGCATGCTATGAGATTCTTATATTGAGTCTTATGATTAGGGTATGGGAGGGATCACATATCTCTCAAATTGTAGTTGTTAGAGTTAAGATTTATGGAGATTCGATTTTTTTCTCGAATTGTAGATCACCAATTGTATCTTGTTTGTTTGCGCGGAGATTAATCAAATGAGCTCTAATTTGGGTTTTTTTCACATATTTCTTGCAATTTGTTCGCTGATTTTGACTCTAATTCGTATCAAATTGGTATTAAAACTCGATTTATGCGACCAACCAACGGATCACAACATAGAGGTGTCACTTTCGTAACCTAATTCACTAAAAAATTACGATTCAGGCATTATGGGATGCATCAACTGGATAGCGGGTGATATGAGAAGCAACAACCGGACCGCAAGTCGTGGAACTTCACGAATTGAAGCGAGGATCGTAATTATATTCGCGCTTTGAGCTAGCTGGGATGCAATCACAATACAATCACAAATCGCTAAAGGGGAGGCAGGAACACAATTATGTAGGAACAATTGTGGTTCTAGCTACCTGGGATGCCTGACAGGATCACGGCGTATAGAGGACACTTTTGTGACTGAATGGTCTGATTTTTCAATGATGAGATCGAGGCACACATAAGTTTTGCCTTTGTGATGGAAGTGGGATCACAACTATATAGGAACAATCGCGATTTTAACTATATGGGATGCCTGACAGAATCGTGATGTACAAAGGGGCACTTTCGTGACCGAGGCTCTAATTTGCTGACGGGATCGAGGCGCACAAAAGTTTCTCTTTCTTGATGGAAACCCGTCTTGGCAGTAATGACGACTGAAAAAATAGATGTCTTGAAGGAGAAATTAAAGGGAGAGATGCGTCATATCTTATTTGACATAGAAGAGCATGTTTTTTCCATGGAGGGGTGGTTGTCTTGGGAGCAGAGATTCATAACCCTGGAAGAAATGACGAAGAAAAGCATGAAGATTCACACAAAATTGCCTCCCCCTGTTGCGTGATCGAGCGATGGTTTCGAGAATGGACGTGAGTAGTAGCAATCAAAAGAATTCGCATGACACTAGGTCAACACCGCTGTTTTATGTGGATTTGGAGTTGCGGGATTGAATGAAGGAATTAGGAGCAAACTCAAATGATAACACTGGGAAGAAATAGTGCAACATTTGGGCGTCTGGAATAAACGAAAGTAGGCAAGATTGAGCGAAGAAGTTAGGAGCGTTTTCGAATGAAAACATGTTGAGGGAATTGCACGACATTTAGAGTTTTGGAACGAGCGACTGTAAGTGAAACGAGATGACATGCAAATTGGTTGGAGAAAATTGACTCGAAGGATTGCGACCTGGAACATGGAATCACGATGGGTGGGACCTCGACGGATGCTTGCTTCCAATAGAGCTAGTGTCATTTGCTGCGACAACCTTTCAGGCGGAAGGTGATTCAGGAGTAATGATAGGAACAAGATAGGTCTATAATAGCAGATGAGTTTGTAACGGTCTGATTTTGGCACTACAGAGTATTTTGGAGGGAGACAAGATGAAAATGCTTCACAGTGACCCCAATTTGTGCAAGATTTTGGTGACACTCAAGATCATGATTATGTCAATTCAGGAAGCAAGGTTGGGATTCTTGAACGCGATGCATGGATGCAATACATGATAGGGAGTTCACATATATTCTGGTGATCGATGAGCTACTGAATTAGTTGCTTGGGATTGCAGTATTCTTTTATATTAAATTGAAGTCAGTGTACCGACATATTCAAATAAGACCAAAGGATGTGCACAAGACTGCATTTCGAGCTAATGAGGGTCCCTACAAATTTTGATTAAATGGAAATGATTTCCAGATGATGATGCTACGTGGGGAGCCATATGACTGGATCCAACAATAATTTTCTCTCTTTCACCTTGAGGACAAAGATGCTTTTTTGGGGAGGGGATTAATGTTACACCAGCGTCTACGACCAATTTAGTCTTTTATAATTTGTTATTGTTTGATATAAATATGGCTTAATAGGTTAGGGTTAGGGCATGTTATGAGATTGTTTTATCAAGTCTTAAGATTAGGGTTTGGGAGAGATCGCCTACCTCTCGAATTGTAAGTGTTATGGTTAGGGTTTATGGAGAATAGATTTATCTCTCGAATTGGATATCATCAATTATATCTTGTTTGTTTGATTGGAGATTAATTAAATTAGCCCTAATTTGGGTTTTCCCACATATTTCTTACAATTTGTTTGCCGGTTTGACTTCAATTAGTATAAAAGAAGATTAAAATTTTTTGGTTTCAGCAAAACAATATGTTTCTAACTTTAAAATCCCATTGCCAGCAATATCAAGCAATTTTTTAACTTTAAATATTTTTACATTTGCTGAATTGATCCCATAATTAATTTCCGTAGATCTTAGTTGAGTTCTTGAGTGTTTGATGATTGAAGTTTATGTTTAACGGTGCACTGATCCATAGGACTCCCTTGTACAATACCACTAGTATTTGAAAAGTATTGAATCCTGCTTTATTTTTATCCGATCTTTGTACTTAAATGTGTTAAATATGAATCTATATTACTAAATTCACATCAAATTGAAATCGTTATCGTAATTAAAAGTATATTTTTTTTAATTATATAATCTTTTAGATGAGTTTATAGAAATAAAATGTCACATCAAATTGACATTGTTATTGTAATTAAAAGTATGTTTTTTAATTATATCATCTTTTTGACGAGTTTATAGAAATAAAATATATTAGTTATATGTCCCAAAGTGTGAAGCATAGAGTTTTGATTTTATTTGACAAACCAATCATGTTTTTTATTTTCCTTGGAGACAAAAGTGAAACAAAAATGAAAAAAAGATAGGGGGATTTACATACATAGCACACCATTCTTATCTTTTTTTGCATTTCACACTGAAATTTGATAATTGACATAGCACTCAAATATTTGATAGCACATAAAAATAGCAATATTACCACTTTTTAAAATGAAATGCATCTTTTCATACATAAGTTTGAAGCACCAAAGTGATATGCATGTAAATATGCAAATTTAGGTATGAGATTTGTAAATACATAAGAATTATGTGCTACATATTTATATTTCCCAAAAAGATAACCGAGCATCATCACATCATTAGTCTAATCGCAACACTTTATTGTTCTGTTTACCAAATGTGGCCTTATTGATCAAAACATCATGGCCTTTTTTCCAGTTTACAAGTATGTGCTCCTATTGTTGTTGTAGATTCAGATCCTGGCATCAAGTTGGACTGTAAATCTGTCTTTTTTCCTGGTTTATATGGTTAGATGGACTTGTGGTCAGGTTTAGTCATGCCATCTGGCCTCTGGAATGTTGAAGTTTTGTTTTGTTTATGTGATTATTTTGACTCTTCTGGTGCTAAATGGTGCTGTTTTCATTATCAATTTAATCTCAAAGTGCTATTTGGGTGATGCTTGGTTATTTTAATCAAGGGAAATTTGTATGCTTAGCACACAATTCTTATTTATTTACATATCTCACACCTAAACTTTGCTATTTGCATATCTCTCACAAAACTGTGGTGGCAGTTTGAAAAGCAAAGATAAGAGAAAATTGTCCCAAAGAGGCCCTAGGTTTCTTCTTTAGTGGGGTGACAATACTTGCCTATTTTATTTTCATTCCCCTTTCTTTGTTATTGTTCATTAAATCCTGATCATATCTTAAATTGTCAATATAATGGGTGGCATTTTCTTTCAGCTTTCTAAAATATATTTTTTCATGAGCTTTGACTTATACTACATGTGTTAGTTAGGGTTGTAAATGAGTTGGATCTTGAGGGAGCCTAGTGTTCGTGTTCAACTCTTTTGAATTTTTTCTTTTCTCGAAATAGGCCCGCGTTCAAAATAGTTTTTGAATAACATGTTCGTGGTTGCTCGACTCGAATTCGTTTATTTGTTGTAGTTCGTGTTCGACTCCAAATTAGCTTGAATGATGAACACAAAAAATAATAGAAAAATATTGTAATATTATTATTTATTTAATTACTTGATTAATTCAAGGCAAAACGGGCCAAGTATGATTGAACACAAGTTTGTTCGTGTTTTGTTTGTTCGTAAATCGGGTTCAGAAAAGTTATTTGTGCTTTATTCACTTGCTTAACGAACATATTGAACATGAGTTGTTTGAGAATAAGAGCTCTTTTGGCGGTCCAAATGGTAGTTATGTTTTATATTTAATTATTTATTTTTGTATGTGTTTGGGATTAGTCCTTGAGTTAATGTTTTTTCGTAAATTGTTTTTTGATTATCCTTTCTTTAGCAGCAATTTAGGCACCAAATATAATGCATTGATAGAGCCTGGTTTTACCTTGTTGCAGTTATCGGGTTTTATGTGCGCTTTGAGGACGATAGTGTGGAATCAGCAAAGATTGTTAAGCAATGGAACGTAAAGATTATTTCTGTGAGCATTTTATCCACCACACCCTCCATACCTATGTAATTTTTTTTTTTTTTTCTTTTACAACCTATATTGGTGATCTTCCTACGCAGATTAGCAAAAATAAGAGACACCAGGATAGGGCTGCAGCACTAGAGGTGTGGGATCGGCTAGAGGAATTCATGCGGTCTCGCTCACACTCTTAGATCAGTCAAGTTTCTGTGATAGCTGTGGGTACTTACTGTTATTTACTTATAAATTCTTATATTTTGAACTGCACCCGGATGTACATTGCAGATTGTTTTTATTTATTATCATTATATATATATATATATTGAAAGATTGTTTTTATTCAAGTAAGATTTACATGCATATCACTCAATTCTTATGTTTTTACATATCTAATACCTAAACTTTGATTTTTACATACATACCAACTTACATGAAAAGCTGTATTTCACTTTTTAGGAGTTAAAATGGTGATATGTCTTTATTTGAAATGAAATATTTGGGTGGTGTAAATGTAGAAAAGCTAAGTTTAGGTGTTAGTATGTAAATACATATGAATTGAGTGTTATGTATGTAAATGCCCCTTTATTTTGGGCTTTAAACTTTTTACCTCTAATATAACATGAACAACTTTTTACTTATCCCCAATTGTCATTTAATTGCATTCTCTTTAGAGCAACATGCCAACTCGACCCAAACTTGACTCGAAAAATTCGGGTTCAGGTTAGGAATCCTAATACATTTAACTTTTTTTGGTCGGATTCAGGTTGACCTGCCAACGAAATTGGCCCAAAATAGACCCGAATTGACTTGAAATTGATCTGCCAACCCGAAATTGACTTGATATTGACCCAAAAATGGCTCAAATTTGACTCGAATTACCGTTGCACTTTATGTTAAAAAGATTATATGTGTTGGTTTTTGGGTCAACTCCTTGAAAGCTGGTTGGTTTTACATTGTACTTTTTGACCCGTCTAAGATTCAGATCAGATTTGGGTCAAACAGTTTCAGACCCAAACACAACCCGCAAACATGATTTGACACCCTGCATTTTCTTTGAAAAATTTGGATCCGGATATGGTAACTCAAATTTGATCTAGTTATACTCTTTAGCCATCAGATTTCTTTTAGATGATCACATTACATGGCAAAATTATTTAATTTTGTAAGATGGCTTTAAAGCCTATCCCGATCTTTTACTTTTAAGGCTATTGTAATAATTAATTTTGTAGATGTTAGGGCGGCTTCTTAACATGTTTTGAAAATTTGTGTTTGAAGTAGATGATTCCTGATAAATTTTAAGAGATGTTAATTTTTTCTTTATGCTGCCTCTTTTTATTGATAAGTGTCTAGGCAAGAAAGTTGAATAAATATTTTTTTATAGAGAAAAACAGGATAACAATTGATCAAAATATTATTGAGCATTTGTTATTCAACTTTTTCTTAATGTGAGCACCAAATTAATTTTTTATCAGAGTTATAACTTGTAAGAATATGATTGACATTTAGTGTTGTTAACGATCCGATTTCGAGCCGAGCTGAAGTCAACTCAAAATCGGCAGAAAAAAAATTCGATCCAAAATTTTAGCTCGTAGCTTGGTTCATTTATTTCAATCTAATCTTGATTCGATTCAAAATTTGAATCAATTTTTGAGCGATTAACGATCTTCGAGCTAAATTTGCTAAATTCACAGTCATATGTTGTTAACAATCTGATTTTGAGCCGAGCTAGGGTCGGCTCAAAATTGGCTCGAAAAAAATTCAATAAAAAATTTTGGCTCGCAGCTTGACTTTTTTATTTTGATTCGAGCCAAAATTCGAATCAATCTTCGAGCTAAATTCATAGCCCTATTGACATTAGATTTTTGTTTGATAAGATAAACTCATGATATCAGAGTGCAATCATCAATAATTGTCATAAATCTTTTAGCTCCAAAATAGTAGGGATTTTTGAAGGTTCTCAAAATAGAGGGATTTTTGATTAATATAAAAAGGAAATGATCGTGGTTCACTTTTGATAAAGAGAATGGTATGATATTTAATAATCTTAATATCTTATAAGTTTTTATATAAACTTTTTTATTAAACTTATTAATAGAGATGAAACTATGCATTTTTGGATTTTAAAGCACTGATACCCTTGTCTATAATGATGATCTTAAATGATGTGTTCATTTAAAGTAGATATAAATCGGGATAAGCGATTGTTGCTTTGAGGTAGATATAACACATCTTTTTTTCTAGTCTGTCCAATTGTCTTCCTTGCAGTTTCGTTTTGGAATACACATGATCGGTAAAAAAATATCACATAGCATTTGTGATCTTTTGTGATTTTATGAATGGACAAAAGGTTTACAATTAGGTTAGGAACATGTAGCACATTGGTGAGGGTAAATGCAAAGAAAATATGAAATTTTTTTGGTCCCCCTACATTGGTTAAAGATCTATCAGTTAATTTTTTTTCCTATTGTTAGGAAACAATTTGTAGGTTTAGATGGTGTCAACATGTTTTGTCTTTATATTGATGTCTCTTTAATCTTATTTAGATTTTTGAGGACTCATTTGAGGTATTAAAAGTTTGAGGATCATAAATTTTCTTTATTTAGCTCGAGAGCATGATCTCAGTGGCTTTTCTAGGGAGTTGAGGAAGTTCCTTAGTGTGTTGATTTTTTTTTTTTAGATTAGCCTTTATGGTTCAATGCAACAGGCTTGTCTTTTTAATTGGCTTTCTTTGTATCCACCATGTCAATAAGCTTTCCATGGAGTTTGCAACATTTTATGCATGTTCTTTTTTTCTTGTAGTAATTGTGCCATAGGTTGCTATTAGGGTGATTTTTTTATTCTTCGTTTTGAGAAGATCCACTTGAAATAATTCATTTACCTTGACTTTTTTTAATTATCTTGGTTGATACTTCAGAGATGGGTATATCAAAGATTACCATTCATCTTTCTTTTTTAGCTTTTAGAAGAGAAATAAATCTCATTTAGGGATGCTACATTCTCTATGCCCAAGATTTGAATATGAATTTGATCAAATTTGCCATCGAGTCTTACAGGGAACTTAAAGATACTCTTTCTACATATATTTTTTTTAGAATCACACTGTCATCACCATACTTCATTTTGATATATTGGTAGTAATTCGAGTCCAACCAATAAATCTTTAATATATTGATATATTGAAATATTCAGTGATAAAGATAAGTGCTGCTTCTTAATTTCTTAAGTTAGAGCAATATTTTTGACCTTTGAGTATATGTCTGTTTGATAGCTTCTCAAATTTCTTTTGATTGTAAGAAATTTATAGGGTCTGTTGATTTCTAACATCTTGGTATTCCTTAACCATTACATAATCATGGAATCTCGTTCATTTAGAAGTGCAAACTTTGGGTCTTCAAATTCAGACGATTCTACTTGATGGTGAAGTTTTTTTTTTTCATTTCTGAAAGATGATCCCAATATGGGATCACTTCAAATATTTTATTTTGTTTAAACGCTAACAGGTTTTTAACCATGAAATTCTATTTTAATTGAATTAGTTTGGTTTTCTTCATTCATGAGTATCAGCTTTTTTGAGGGGAATTTAAAAATTCCAATCATGGAGAGAATGAGAATAGGCAAAGGAAAAATAAAAGGTCAAAAATAGGACCTTAATCTCGAGTTGATATCATTTTAAAAAATTTGGTTTGGATACTTGATTTGTTTATTCCTCCAATGGGTTTTATAATATAAAGGTGTCTAGCAAATAATTGAAAACTATGCAATATCTAATTAAAAAAATTGTTTTGGGTATGCTAGTAATTTGTCTTCTGTAGCTTTCCATAGCTTCATCTAGGGATCCATATGTGACACTCTTCTTTCCTTGTTCATCATATGAATTCGTTGCCCCTTACAGACATTCAATTGCATTAGTTAAGGACCGATCCACGGTGGCCCGTTTCCTTTTTTTGTTTGCTTATAAATCCATGGTGTAATTCCTTCCTTATTTAGCAACCCATAGCTGCTGATTTTAGGTAATTTCAATAACATGTATACTAGTTCAACACACATACACAAATATTTACTCTTAGATATTTTCCTTATATTTATTTTATAAGCACTCCTCTTTTATTTTTTTTCTCCATACCTAAACATGATTTCTCTTTTGGCTATTTTTACATGATATAAAGAGAAGCTTGAGGCCTTTTACTGTGAACAACTTTGTAGGTTATCATGCTATATGATCATTAATTTTCTCTTGACTTGGTTTCTAGCTTGTATCTGTCACCTTTGACAGTTATGTTTGTCCATCCATTTAAAAATCCCTCTATTACACACTTACCAAGGAAACTATTTATCTTCGATCGCTCCATCTCTCACTTCTTCAACCTCTACATCTGCACTTATTGAATAAATATGAAAAAAGTGATGCCTTGTAACCGTTTCTTTTTTTTTTCTTTTTTTTTTCTTTTATTCAAAGCAATGTGTGGTGGTAGGCCTAAACGATTAGGTGTAAAATAGGATCTTGAGTTTACTAACCATGATTTTTTTTTATAAAAAAAGTAAATATTATCTAATATTTTGAGGTCAAAATAATCGAGAGAATTTAGATATTGATATTATATGTAACAATTGCTGAAATTTACCATGAGAAGGGGCACGCAAATAAACATTAGAAAGCCTCATTCAACTTCCATGGATTTTTAAGAAGGGGCACGCAAAGAAATGACTACTAAAACTATCAAAAGTCTCCGATCATGGTAATTTTCTCATCCTTTACCACCATTCTTATATTGTTACTTTGCTTCTCTTTGATTTGAAATTTAATTTGCTTTGTAACTCACTTATAATGAATTTTATTCCATATTATACCTCTAGAATCACTAACAATAGAATTAAATGTTACTCCAAATTTTCTGCTGTTTGATTTTATGTACATGATACTATCTTTTTGCTTTTACGTGCCATCACTATAGCATCTCTGGCCATATTGAAGTAACGATACAAATGATGAGATAACCTTGACCAATTTGGCCAATCAAGATCAAATTTACCTCCAATTTAATTGCAATCCCACATTACGAAGCTTTCACATAATTCCATCACCAATTTTGATTCGCACATCATCAACTACCATAACATTTATGTGGTTACCATTTGCAAGATGAATTTTCCCGCAATCTCCAGGAATGCTATTAGATATAAATTCACGTGGAATTTAATGTAAAGAGGTAACTTGAATTCAAGGTCCAACATTAAGGTTTGAGGCATTATTGTTCTTTCACTTTTGATATTCATTATTCCTCCATTTTATTTTTCTTATATATACTTCATTTTTTTTCTAATGTTTCTTGCATATATTTGATGGAGCTTTCATCATGATAGCTATGTCCTCTCATGTAATATATTGAAGGCAATAAGTTCTATTAGCGACGGACATTCAATGCCCAACTTTTACATTTCTAGGAGATTTTAGTCTTTTTGGCTCATATTTGTTGTCTGACTCAAAGATAGGTAGATCTAACTTTATTTGACATAGATAATCCTCAATTTGCATCTTCTAGTACCAGATTCCTTGCCATTTTACTCTATGATCTTTTTTTTTCTTTTTCTTTTTAACTCTAAAGCTCTAGCTCTAATGCTATTTATTCTTTTTTTTTTTTAACTCTAAAGCTCTAGCTCTAATGCTATTTAGGGCTCACTTTGGGGGAGTTTATTAGTGCCGGCATCGTTTTTAAAATACCGTCTTACCGTTTGGAAAACACGTTTCGGAAGCTTATCCGAAAACGCGGTTGAGTTTTTACATTAAACGCGGGTCGAACCCTGCGGGCCACCCATGGGCTGCGTTTCAGGATAAACTGCTTATTTGGATAAACACAAGTTACCCTAAACACACCCTTAGTCTATTCTGATCAAACGATAAAAATAATCTTCAGGGAAAACATTAGGGAAATGAGAGTTTATGTGATTTGGTGAGGTCCATCCATATTTATGACCGCATGTATAGCTAATTCCCACTAGCCTGGAGACAAATTTTTTATATAGATTTTTCTCTTAAATAACTGAATCACGTTTATGTCGATATTATTTTTCTCTCTTATTCCCTCTCCAAGCAGGAGCACATTATCAGTTATACTCACCAGAAATAAAGGGTAGTATGTCATTCTCTTTGTCGGACTACTTTGTTGGTCATTTCAACTATCACTTCCGACCTTTTAATGGTCTTTCTTGATCACCGAATAGAGGAATTCTTATGTATTACACTCTACAAGATAGCTACTAAACTTCAATTATTTCACTGACCGCTTTTCTGACATTTGCCGCTATACTTGTTTGTATAAAGGAGAAAAATGAATAATGTCTTGCAATTTTTTTTCTTCTCCGTTTGTAGAGCTTTATGTGGAGGTAGGTTTGAATAATCTGGCGTGGAGGAACATTTTGAGTTTTGACAACCATAAATTTGAAAAAATCATGATAAAATTTTATCCAGGACTCTCAGATCTACATGATCCAAGGAAATTAAACTCCAAATCGAAATTTTTAAAGGTTATATCTTCCTCTGATGACCCACATTCTTCGCTTGGATCGGAGCACCTACATTTGCATATATTGAAAGAGATAAAAGTGAAGTTATGTTGCTCAAACTTAATAAAGACTATTTTGAGCAAGGCAATTTTTTGGTGCAAAAGGGATTATCTATTTGAGATTGCTTTTTCGTCTTATGCCTGAACTTCGAGTAACTCATTAGCCTTGGTTAATTCTCATCTCTTTTGTGAAGGTTATTAGGATTTGGTTAAGCTTTGCATGTAGGCTCTTTTTGATATAATTTGACTAAGTTGGTCTCACATGATCTATTTTGATTGTGCCGATCATGCCTTCATTTAAATTTGACCAGAACAGACTAAGATGGAGGCATTAGACAGAGGCACATCGAAGTAGCTAGTCTCAAATGATCTATTTACTTGTTGCCACTTTTAGGATGTCAATGTGTCACACATTGAATTTGGTGTCATTGTGATTTTTATGCAGTGTCGACCGATGTAGCCCTTGTTTCATATGATAGAGATTATTGAGGCATTTACATAAATACCACACAATTCTTATATATTCTATCTAACACCTAAACTTTCATACACCTAAACTTTCATATTTCTGTACATAACACTCTAATCATTAATATCACATTAAAAATATTATTACTAGTAATTTTTTAAAAGTGAAGCACATCTTTCCATTTTAATGTTCATGACACCAAAGTCTTATAAATGTGAATATTGAACTTTAGGTTTTAGATATGTAAATTCAAATAAATTCTGTGATATTTATGTTAAGTTTCCCTAAAAAAATTTGTTCTATCCTAGTTTGGGTGATTGTCTCACGGCGACATAGCTATAAACATAAAAACGAGCCTCTTATTATGTGATGGTTAATTAGGCTGGCATTTATTAACTTCCAGCATATAAGCTTGTTGTTCTTGTTCGTTCGTGTTTGATTCGATAATTTTCTTGAATTCTATTAATTTTTTTTAAGCTTGATTATCTAAACAGTGAAACACGAACAATCTCTTTCTAAATATGTTTGGAGGGATAGTAGTTTTATTATGCATACATAGACGCAGAAACATACGTTCGTTAACCTAAAGACGTTTACTTCACCTCATAACAATTAACAAGCAAGACACAAAAACACCCTCCATAATAGGGAAAACTATTACGTGCGGCATACGACACATCTGGACGACGGTGCGGATTCTCCCACACATCCGTTTATCGCATGACAGCCCATCTAAACCAACCACACGTAATATTTTCTCCCATAACATAGCTTTTATTAGTCTATCTATTTGTGTAAAGTTTACATGCATGCCATCTAATTCCTCTGTATTTACATATGTAACATCTAAACTTTGCTTTTTACATTTATAATATCCAGATCTTTCATGTCAGATAAAAATTGCCATCATTTTAACTTTAGAAAAGTGAAACATACCTTTTCATACATAGATAAGGTGGTATGTATGTAAAATTTAAACTTTAGGTTTTACATATGTAAATACATATGAATGGAGTGGTATGGATGCAAAGCTTCCAAAAGACTGTACAAAACAGGAAGAATTACAAAATGCAATGAAACTACTAAACCCAACCCCCAGAAATTGAAAAACATCAACTTTGGAAGATGTAAGCAGAAATCACAATACTTAGCATAATGAACACAACTGATTTTTTTGATCTGTTGTTCGATGTATATCCGCCGTTTGATTTCGATCCATTGGCTGCATTAATTTAGAAAATTTTGATTAAAAGTCTTGGCTGAAACAAAACTTGTAAACCTGTAGAAGGATATGTAGCAGTAACTCGAAAGAAAATGCACCTGAAGGTGCAGCTCCAGCTGCAGGTATTGATGGGCTCTCCGGAGACTTCGCCGGCGAGGCTGTCGGACCTCCTGAACCTTCTTGAAACAAACCACAAAATATGTCTATGATTAATTTGAGGCATTTATATACATGCCACAAAACTCTTATGTATTTACATATCTAACATCTAAACTGTCTCATATTTACATTCATAACTGTCTAATCTTTAACATCATATAAAAATAAATTCATTACTAACTTTTCAAAAGTGATATGACACCAATGTGTTTTAATTGCAAATATTAATGTTTGGGTGATAGATCTATAATTAGTTAAGAATTGTGTGGCTTGCGTATAAATTTCTCTATTAATTTAGCTCAGGTGGGTAAGGACTCCTAAATTCTGGAAATTCATATTTAAGGCTAGTTTTGCTGCTTGAAAATATAGAAGAATTAATGAATTATATTGTTTATAAGAATAAATCATCATATTTGAGTAAGTTTAATAGTGGATAATGGACTATTAAATTCATTAGTTTTTAGGAAATGATTCTTATTTTCAAGGAACTAAATTGTTATTAGTAATTTTAATAAAAATTTATTTGGACTAGAAAGAGGATATATGAAATATATGACTTGAAGAAAGAAATAAAAAATTGTTTGACTGTATTTAACCTAAAATTTGATTAGATAAAATAGGGTGCATTTACATAAATACTGCCAAATTCTTTAGTTTTTGCATGTCTAACTACTAAACTTTGCATTATTATATTTATGCCATCCATTTCTTTCATATAGCAGAAAAAATATCATCATTTTAACTTTAAAGAAGTGAAATAAGTTTTTTTCATGCATAGGTAGGGTAGTAGAACTAAAACTGAATACATGGAATGTAATTTTAGTAGTAGTAGCTCTAGTGACAAGTGTGACTTTGGGTCATCAAATTATTAAAAGGTGTGAACGTTTTAGATATCTTGGGTCTGTTGTGATGGTGATATAGATGGGGATGTAAATAGTAGAATTCAAGTTGGTTGGTTGAAGTGGAGATATGTTTCGGGCCTTTTGTGTGATAGAAAGTACCGCTTAGACTGAAAGGAAAATTTTATAAGACGGTGGTGAGACCTGCAATGCTCTATGGCGCTGAATGTTGGCCTTTAAAAGAGAAGCATAATAATAAGTTAAGTGTTGTCGAGATGAGTATGATTAGGTGGATGAGTGGTTTTACACTTAGAGACAAAATGTATATCTGTGATAGGGTTAGTGTAGCTCCTGTAACGGACAAAATTAGAGAAAGTCGTCTTAGATGGTTTGTTCACATTAAACGTCGACCATCTAATGATCCGATTAGGAGAGTAGATGTTTTAGATTCGACTTGTGTTAAGAAAGGCTGAGTTAGACCTAGGAAGACTTGGGCTTATTGTATAAAAAATGATCTTAATTTACTAGAACTAAATGAAAATATGACACTAAATAGGACGCAATGGAGAAAAAAGATTCATGTTGCCGGCCCCACGTAGTGGGATTAAGGCTTTGTTGTTGTTGTTGTTATTGTTGTTGTTGTTGTTGTTGTTGTTGTTGTATAGGTAAGGTGGTATGTATGGTAAACTTTGAAGTTTGGGTACTAATATGTAAATACATGAGAACTGAGTGGTATTTATGCAAATCTCTCAAAAAATGAAATAAATCAGAAGTCGTGGTTTTTTTAAGGGGGATAGGTGGTTACCATTGCATTGGCTCACAGGCGGTGTTTGGATCTGACAAGCACCTGGAAGGGCAAGTGCCCTAGTCTTATTTATAGAAATACCAATGGAAGAGCCTCCTCCGTTGAGCACTGTGCACAGGCATAGGGGTTGAGATTTGACGATGATGCCGAGTTGGGAACAACAACTCGCCGACGGAGTCGATGAGTTGCCGGAAATATAGCTTAGGCACGGCGAGAGACTGATGATCGCTCTCGTGCAGCCTGTTTGTGCATTGGTAGAAACTGATTGATAAACCACAATGATGGTTGTTGCCACGAGAATCATAGTTGCTTGACGAGCCATCTCTTTAGTGCAGTGAAGCTCGGCAGCGATGATGGGGGGAGGAAGAGGAAAGGTGGCGGTGGTGTAGTATTTAGTGTGATGAGGGGTGAGGAGAGACTTATAAGATTAGAGAGTAGAAGACATATGTTTGGAAGTTTTGTTAGTTGGGAATTTGGAATTTTGCTTATTTGATGAGAAGTTTTGGAGTTGCTGAATTTTCCTTGCCATGATATATATATATATATATATATATATATATATTGCAGTTAATTTAATCAAATTTTAAGATTTTGAGGCTTGTTAGACTAAAAATTAGATTCAATTTTGTTCTTTTTGTTTTCAATGGGTTGGTGGCCTATTTATGGTGAGGATTGCATCTTTTTTTTTCTTTATTGAGAAGATACTAAGGGGCAGATGAGATGACGACCTGATGATTGGACATTTCTTCTCGTAATGTGAGCTCTCATGCTCGAAGTTTAATGAACGAAAAAAAAGCTACTAACGATTTTTAGAATTAGTAGATTGATAAAATTTTATGCAAATAATACAGATATATGAGAAGCCGCTCGTAAATAATAATAATAATAATAATAATAATAATAATAATAATAATAATGTATAATAATGAATATTAATCATGAGATAGTTCAATATAAATAATAAGGGCTAAATTTTAGTTTTAAAAAATAACTAATGATTTGAGTGTTGCCTTCTATTAAATGAAGGCTTAGTTTGTAATATATGTTAACAAAAAGGGCTATTTATACTTGGCAGCCGATTCTTATGTTTTTATATTTCTAAGACCTAAACTTTTGCTTTTATTTTTCTATCACTCAAATCTTTCATATCAAGTAAAAATGAACTATTTAATTAAAAAAAAAGTAAAATACACATTTTCATGCAATTATAAGATGATATGTATATTATATATGTGATTAAATAGGAATTGAGTGGTATGTATGCAAATCTTCTATAGTTTATTGATGCGTACTAGAAGATTTGTAGTGGTAGAATAATGGATTATCATCTTAGTATTGTATGAGAATTCAACACACACTCAAATGAAAGAAAATGACCAGTAGAGACATCAGGAGTTTTTTACATGGAAAATTCGTAAACCCGTAAAGGAAAAAATCATGGGGTCTTGCCCAGCTGAAGAGATACACTATAAACTGGAGATTACAAGTGTGATCCCTTGTTCCATAGTCGAGAAAGGGTTATACAATCCTTCGAGCTACAAAGTCGACGCGTAGATGAACTTGTCGTAAGAAGTGAGGGACAACTGATGTTGATCAGCACGACCGACGAGGGATAATCAATGGCAGTCGACAAAGATTGACGACTGATGGTCGGTGGCAGTCGGCGGCGGTCGACAACAAAGTGTGGTTGGACTTCAACTCATTATCCAAGCTTCAAGCTATTCTCCTCATTAGAGAGGTGAGGATCTATTTATAGAGTTAGCAGTTGTAATTAATGAAAAAATATGAATCACTTTGATCAGATGACTCAGAGAAATTGTCTCGATCAGACGACATTTGATGGACCATTGATTGCCTTAGCGATGTCAAAATTTAGTGATTTTGGACTCGTTAGATTCATCTTGTCGAGACACTTGATTCGACAAAATTTAGTGATTTTGGGCTCGTTAGATTCATCTTGTCGAGACACTTGATTCGACTAGAAACTCTCCAAATTAGCCATTAATTCGACCTTTCAAATGTATCTAAAAAGTTTCCAAAAGTGGTTTGATGGCTTGATCGAGGCTCGATTTGACTCCGATTGGACCAATTTTGGTACATTGAGTCCGCTCCTTCGAGCCGGTCAATTTCACTATAAATTTGCTAAAATCAAACTTTTGTATGCCTTTCTATCGAATCTTGAGCATTCTTTGCTCAAAAGATTGCCTCGAGATTCATGTCATGCCTCGAGATTTATGTCGGACGGTGAGAACTTTTTGATGGCGCATCATTTATATTACTAATTTGTAATTTGTAAAGGCCACTCTATTGGTTATGAATTATTATCTTATACTATATTATTTTTTATTTTTTATTTATATGAGGAACACCTAGTTTTCTTTATAGCGCAAACAATGCATGCAAGACATAATGCGAATATTGGTTTATTAAAATGTTGATATGATGTTTCATAGATTTGGAGTAGTTTGGTAATGATGATAAATTATGATTGTTTTTGGCATATAGTTCGCAGGTTGATGACCCAACTTGATGGACAAATTTGGGTGAGGATATTGACTCTTCTACTATTACCTTGAACACCAGAAATCAAAACATGACATGAACTACTTTTCAAGTGTTGTGAAAATCTACGACATGTTTAGGTAAAAATATTAAGTACGGAACCCGCATGATGTGGACTCCTTGTACAACAGTGTTGTACCCATGTGTATGATATTGTTGTACAAGGAGTCTGCATGTATGCAGTTTATAACTGATGTTCTCTCCATGTTTAGGGGTGTAAATGAATCAAGCCAGCTCATAAGCTGACACAAATTTTACTCATTAGTGATTTGTAAGTCGCTCAAGTTCGTCCTTATGTTATAACTTTTCTGTTAATTGAACTTGAGTTCGAGCGTGATGAGTATTAGATCATAAGCTTATGAGCCAACTCGATTAGCTAGGTTAACTTACTATTGGTAGGTGAACCTAGCTCTAGCAGGCTATGGCCTGAGCTCGACTTGAGTTATTTACACCGCTAATGGAATACTTCAAAAGAAAAGCATGTGTCATAATATTTGTAAATTTATAGTAGACTTTATAATAAATATCTTGATGAATTTATATTTTTTTTCTATAAATTTATCACATATGATGGGGAATTTTTCTTTCACTTTTCATGATAATTATTTTCATGTTGAAATGGCTTATTTCATCATTAACTTATTAAAAATTTTGTATTAAATGTTTTTCTTATCATATATTAAATCATATAATTTTATATCATTAATTTTTGAATTCAGATTTGTCTGTGAATCACATTTCAAGGGATTAGAGCATTAGAAGAAGAGAGAGAGAAGGGTATTGACAGAGGAAGGATGAGTGCATGGCGACTTGCCTCTCTGAAGCAAACTCGGGTATTTGTGAATACATGAGCAGAGAGTGAAGGCAAAAATGTTCATCTTACATGAAATAATCTCTTATTTGTAGGGGATGAAGAACAATACAGAAACTTTCAATAAGGGTTGTACGTGTTATTTTAGACATTTTACAAGTATAAGCCTTCAACTTGGCTATATTGGGTCGATGTCCTGGCCTCGAATCATCCTGGCTTCGGGTCATCAAAGCCTCAAGTCGTCCTGGATTAGCTTCAGCCGGGTGGTCGAGGCCTCGGGTCGTCCAAGCTTCTAGTCATTTTAGCCTTAAATCATTCAGACCTCAGGTTGTCTAGGCTTCGGGTTGTCCTGGCCTCAGATCATTCTGGATTCTAGTCATTCATGCCTCGGGTCATGTCGGGTTAGGGTCCTCCTGTCCTTGGGTCATCTTACTGAGAGATTCAGTCTAGCACATTTTTATGTACATATTTTAATTTCACAATTTTTTTACTTCTTGAAAACTAAGTTGTGATAATTGAATGATTGAAGGTTTCAGGTCGGTAAGGGCGGCTCGGTCGACCAGACTTTTCTGGCGTCTTCCTTGATCGGTATTTGTCAAGTGGTTGATCTAGCCTAGTTTTCAACCTTATCAAAAACTTAGAGAAATATTCTTTTCTTTTCGAACATTTGTCAGAAAACGTATAAGAAATTTTAAGTAAATTTTTTGAGCTTAAAATTAAGTGAAGTTCTCAACCGATTTTACCAGTCTTAGTGTTTTACCTCTTGTCATATGTTTTTATTTTTTGTGTGACAACCACTTGGCATATGATGATTGATGAGTTGGTTTTTGGTATTAAATGTCGAGCAGACGTCATGCATTGTTGTCGGTCATTTTAAGCATTTTCTACTTATTGGGTGGCTTGCATTGTTGTCGGTTTTTGGGGTGTTGATGCCCAACTCGCCTTTCGCTTTTTAAGTCTGAGTGGCTTGGTCAAATCTCCGCCTTCGATAGACTAACCCTTGTGCTAGGCTCATTAAAGCGATGATGACCACCGAGACTCACTTATGAGGTGATTTGCTCGATACCCTTCCCGGAGTTTGTAGCTACTAGACAGAGAACCATCTCTGAGCCTTATCGGATTCAAGTTTGGAGATGTAGGTTCATGATGCGTGAGCATTGCACGCTAGTTCTTTGTGCATTCCGTCGATAGGACGTTTGGCATTGTTGTCAGTCTTACTGTTGTGGTTCAAGTTTTTCGAATGTTGGCTAGACATCAAAGCGCACAAACTCCTTGATTTCCTTGAGTGTTGGTTGAATTTTGATCATCTATTATACAATACTTCCCAAGTTTTTCTAGTTTCGATCAGACCAAAGATTATGTGCATTATTAGAAAGTTTTACTTATCATTTTTATGAATGAAATATATAAGTTGGAAGAGATGTGCATTTTTTTATTGTTGAGAGTTGTCCAGGTTGCTTATTGTCCAGACCGTGGGTCGTCTAGACTGTCGGTCATCCCTCTCGGTCAGTCGCCCAGGTTGGTTCTTCTCCTTATGCTGCTCATTTTCTTATATGTGACATAATCCACACGCTCATCGTAACTTTTAGGATGTTAAATCCCGATTTTATTTATATCACACCTCAAAAGATTAGAGGTTTAAAAATGAGAGAGAGAGACAAAGAGAGAGGGAGGGAGGACTGCACAACGACTTCCCCTCCGAAGCAAGCTGGGGCATTCCCGGGCTAATGTGATCTTTTTTATATAATTGAATCTTTATAAATACCTAAGGAGGGAGGGAGGGAGGGAAAG